TTGACGTGAAATAAATCATTCGGACAACGGACTGTCGACATTTAAAAAAATTATACAGATTAGGATGCATTCAGGGTTCATTTTTTGGATTAAAAAAATCAAAATGAAGGTGCAAGTTTCTTGAATTTTACTTTAAAAATTCAATATTTGCATTTTGACGTGAAATAAAACATTCGGACAACCAACTGTCGAAATTAAAAAAAAATTACACAGATTAGGATGCACCCAGAGTTCTTTTTTTGGATTTAAAAAAATCAAAATTAAGGTGCGAGTTTCTTGAATTTTACTTTAAGAATTTAATATTCACATTTTGAAGTGAAATAAAACATTCGGACAACCAACTGTCGAAATTAAAAGAATTACACAGATTAGGATGCATCCAGCATCCTTTTTTTTTATTAAAAAAATCAAAATGACGGTGCCAGTTTCTTGAATTTTACTTTAAAAATCTAATATTCGCATTTTGAGGTGAAATAAAACATTCGGACAACCAACTGTCGAAATTAAAAAAATAACACAGATTATGATGCATCCAGAATCCTTTTTTTGGATTAAAAAAATCAAAATGACGGTGCCAGTTTCTTGAATTTTACTTAAAAAATTTAAGATTCGCATTTTGACGTGAAATAGAACATAAGACAATCAACTGTCGAAATTAAAAAAATTACACAGATTAGGATGCATCCAGGGTTCTTTTTTTGGATTAAAAAAAATCAAAATGAAGGTACAAGTTTCTTGAATTTACTGTAAAAATTGAATATTTGCATTTTGACGTGAAATAAAACATTCGGACAACCAACTCTCGAAATTAAAAAAATTACACAGATTAGGATGCATCCAGAGTCATTTTGTTGGATTAAAAAAAATCAAAATGAAGGTGCGAGGTTCTTGAATTTTACTTTAAAAATTGTATATTTACATTTTGACGTGAAATAAATCATTCGGACAACGGACTGTCGACATTTAAAAAAATTATACAGATTAGGATGCATTCAGGGTTCATTTTTTGGATTAAAAAAATCAAAATGAAGGTGCAAGTTTCTTGAATTTTACTTTAAAAATTCAATATTTGCATTTTGACGTGAAATAAAACATTCGGACAACCAACTGTCGAAATTAAAAAAAAATTACACAGATTAGGATGCACCCAGAGTTCTTTTTTTGGATTTAAAAAAATCAAAATTAAGGTGCGAGTTTCTTGAATTTTACTTTAAAAATTTAATATTCGCATTTTGAAGTGAAATAAAACATTCGGACAACCAACTGAGGTGTGAGTTTCTCGAATTTTACTCTAATTATTGAAGTTTTCCATTTTGGCGTAAAATCTGTTTTCTTCTTCATTCGGACAACCGATTTTAAATTCTTTCTTCTTCTTTACTAAAATGCATCTATGTATTGATAGGGGGTATTGGATTCGCCCCTAACTAAATTGTTTAACTTTCAGCACACTTGTGGGCTATCGAACTTTCTTTGCTTGAAAGGTATTCTATACCTACTACATTAATTTCCTGTTGGTGTCTAGTTCTCCAAAACTTAAAAAAATTGAATAAAAATGCTATGGCGCCTCGAAAAATGATCAGAAGAGATGTGAAGGTTTAACAATAATACCCCCCTGGCTGTGAGGTTTTCCATACTCCCTAGACACTCCGGTGGTATTAATGCAGCACTTCAATTTTTTATAAATATTAGAGCAAAATTGTTTCCAATGTTGTTTATAAGCAGTAATGACTCAAATGCATTACATCTTTCGATTGGGGACTATTCCACCCCCACCCCCCCAGACCCCCCGGTGATATTCATAATTTATGGCACCTCAATTTTTTATAAATATCAATGCAAAATCGGTACAAGTATTGTTTATAAACAGTAATCTCCCAAATGTATTACTTTTTTTTGGCTGGG